GAATTATTTTGTGCATTAAATTGAATGAACATGGTCTGGATAGCCCACAGACATACCATAAAAATTCCTAGGACCTGGTCTCCTTTAAATCTTCATTGAACCATGTTAACTGAACCTAAAATTAATAAATTTCAGCTGTTCAGTTTCTGCCACAGAATGCAGTTGAGATGCTGTTTGTGTTTTTTATTTGTGTGTTAGCTGAAGCCTCACATTAACGGACCGTTCACCCCTGACCTGGCTCACCCCGTGTCTGAAATCGGCGCTACGGCGAAAAAGAGCGGCTGGCCTCTGGAAGTCAAAGTTGGTGAGAAGTGATGGACTGAAAAAAGCTGCTTTATGTTATTCACCCCGCTACTATTAATGTTCTGCCTCTACACTTTATGAACCGTTTCAGCTACCAGGTTTGTGGGAAACTAAAGCTTCTGGTTCCTGTTGCTGTMTAGGTTTGATCGGCAGCTGTACCAACTCCAGCTACGAGGACATGGGCCGCGCCGCCTCTCTGGCCAAACAGGCTCTGGACAAAGGCCTGAAGTGCAAAGCTCAGTTCACCATCACCCCCGGCTCGGAGCAGATTCGCGCCACCATCGAAAGAGACGGATARGTAAGAGTCGGCACACGCAAAAAGCCAAAAGACCTTCACTGGTTGCTGTGGTAGAAYTGGAAGCTAAAATGTTTCAAACGGTTTTCCTGTAGTCGAAGACCCTCAGCGATGTTGGAGGTGTGGTCCTGGCAAACGCCTGCGGACCCTGCATTGGACAGTGGGACAGGTAACGTCACGGGCTTTACCTTCCAGTCAGAACAAGTCAGCTTGTTGAATGTTTGGAAATGAACGTGTCGTGTGTTTGAGTTCAGGCGAGACGTGAAAAAGGGAGAGAAGAACACCATCGTCACATCCTTCAACAGAAACTTCACCGCCAGGAACGACGCCAACCCTGCAACACACGCCTTTGTGACTTCTCCTGAGGTAAACTCAAACTTCAGCTCTTCGGTTTCATTTTTTTGGTTTTGTTTTCTCTCCAAAGCTCGCTTTCCTCCTCCTCTTCAGATCGTAACGGCCCTCGCCATTGCCGGAACGTTAGACTTCAACCCCGAGACGGATTACCTCACAGCCGCCAACGGAGAGAAGTTCAAGCTGGAGCCGCCCACTGGAGACGAGCTGCCATCCAGGGATTTCGACCCGGGTCAGGACACGTACCAGCACCCGCCCGCTGACGGCAGCAGCCTCAGGGTGGATGTTAGTCCTCAGAGCAACCGGCTGCAGCTGCTGGAGCCGTTTGACAAGTGGAGCGGCAACGATCTGGAAGACTTGCTGGTCCTCATCAAGGTGGGTTAACCTGCCCAAGTTTGTGTTGGAAACAGGGTTCCTGTGGGTCCTTGAAATACTTGAAAGTTTGTGAATTGGTAAAAAGGATTTCATGGACCTGGAAAGTTTGTGAAAACAGCCAAAAATTACACTTGTCCTTGAAAGTCCTTGAATATTTTTGTGGGGTTTGAAGTTCTCTATTCACACAACTGATTTTCATCATCTGTAAAAAACAATAATAATAATAAAAACCTTACATTTGTTGCAGTGGATAACTCAGGATTACGGTAAACTGACATGGACTTAAACAAATGAGCCATTGTCATAGTTTTAGCCAATCAGAGCAGAGTAGGGCAGGTCATTCTTTCTGAGCCCAGGTAAAGCACCACAGCTCACTGAGGGTCTGGACCTGTTCACATCCCCTCCTCCCAAACTGAGCTGCTGAACCTCCCAGGACATAATTACATGTCCATGTAATGTAGATATGAATGTAGGGTAAACATTTAATCCACTTTCTTCTCATTGATTCTGACTTAACAACTTCTGTGTTGCTCAGTTTTTCATTGAATTTACATGATATTAAACCTGTTTCTTGGTAGCAGTAGGTAATTGCCATCATGCGTGGTTCTTGAATTTGAGGAAATTGGTACTGGAAAGTCCTTGAAAGGTGTTGACRAATGTGTGGYAACCCTGTGGATATTCTCCCAGCAGCCGGGGTCTGAGTGTAACCCCTCCCCTGTCTCTGCAGGTGAAGGGGAAATGCACCACAGACCACATCAGRGCTGCAGGACCCTGGCTGAAGTTCCGCGGTCACCTGGACAACATCTCCAACAACATGCTAATCGGCGCCGTCAACAGTGAGAACGATGCTGTTAACAAGGTAAAGAACCACCTGACCGGAGACTACGGAGGAGTCCCAGATGTGGCCCGTCACTACAAGGTGAGGCTGTTACAGTTTACTTAGTCAAACCCAAAACCATCTCAGAATAAAATGCACCGGAACGGTTTTTGAGGCCCTCCTGTGTCCTGGTGTCTGCAGGCCAGCAACGTGTCGTGGGTCGTGGTTGGAGACGACAACTATGGGGAGGGTTCCAGCAGGGAGCACGCAGCTCTGGAGCCCAGGCATCTGGGTGGAAGAGCCATAATTGTCAAGAGCTTCGCCAGAATCCACGGTACTACATGAGTGCAAATATTAGAGCTGCACGATACTGGTAAAACTGATACTGTGATTTTTTTATTTTTATTTTTTTGTGCTGGGCACGTTAACGCAGGCGACAATTAACAGCGATAATTTTTTAACGTGCATTAATGCAGTTTCTTTATATTTCTCCGTCTGATCTCTGTTCTCAGTGCTGCCTGTGAAAACGCACACACACACACACACACACACACACACACACAGACACACACAAACCCAGTGGTCGCTGCAGGGAGGTGGGATCTTGATCACTATTGGCTTTAGATAGCCTTCATCGCACGTCTCTTTGAAGACTCCTCAGATGTGATAAATGCAGAAGGAGGGCGCAGCCCCTGAATTTAGACTCRGCCCATATTTCCTTCTGTGTGTTTTACCACTGAGGTGTTGCCTCTGTGTCCATCCTAGTTTCTATTTCCATCACACTTTAATATTAGCTGTTAGGATGGCCGTGGCAGAGTGGTTAGAGGAATCGTCCTGTAACCGGAGGGTTACCGGTTTGATCCCGTTTCAGTCATCTCAGTCGTCATGTCTTTGTGCAAAAACACTTCACTTCGGTGGCACTGGTGCATGGCAGCCCCACCTCTGTCAGTGTGCCCCAGGGCAGCTGTGGCTGAATGACTAAAGCGCTTTAGGGTCCCCATAGGGCTTGATAAAGTGCCCGTTTAGCATTTTCCTACAATTCTCTATAAATTTGCTCYTCTTCCTCCACAGCTTCAGAATTTACCGACATCACTTCTTCAAAAAACGTTGACATTACTGTCCCAGAAGTTTCACAACAAAATAAGTTTTAGCTTTTTTGACGTGGAAGCAACCTGTCAAAATAAAAGCTGCAACACAATACAGTTTAGTGCAATGACTTATGGTTTAGTGGTTTAGTCCCTAGATAACAACACGCTGATCTAATGAACCTCCTACATCACAGGACCTGCATTGTGACTGTTGCACAGAWACGTTGCCTTGAAAATACTCAAACGATGCATCTTGCAGCTCTAGCAAATATCCAGTCATTTATGGTTCTGCCTTCTGAAAACTGAAGCGCTGAGCTTTATAGGTTTGTGTTTTAATCTGTGTTGTCAGAAACCAACCTGAAGAAGCAAGGTCTGCTGCCTCTAACWTTCAGCAACCCATCAGACTATGACAAGATCCTCCCCGATGACAAGATCTCCATCAAAGGCCTGAAAACCTTCACTCCAGGAAAGGTGAGCGTGCAGCTCAGCAGGGAAAACAGCCCCACATGTAGTTCTTCTCAAGGGAAAGCATCTTCAGTGAAACCTTTTCTCTCTCTCTCCTTCCCTCCTGTCTCCTCAGCCTCTGACTGCTGTGGTGAAGCACAGCGACGGCAGCACAGAGACCCTGGAGCTCAACCACAGCTTCAACGAGACGCAGATCCAGTGGTTCCAGGCAGGATCGGCGCTGAACAGGATGAAGGAGCTGCAGCACTGAGGGTGGAGACAGAAAGGAGGAGGAGGAACAAGGAGGGGGCTTCAGGGTGTATAGTGGGGGGGTGAGGGTTTGTGAAGAAGCAGAATGTAATTATTTCATCACTAGTATTCACTCAAATTCATGACTGGGGAATTTAAGCTAAACGTCGAACAAAGAGGGATCACTCTGTCGGAACAAATCAGCCGAGTTTTGATTTATTTTTCTGTTAAAATCAAGCATTAACTGGTGGTAAACCCAGCTGTGAAAACAGAGCAGTGACTCATGCTGCCAGCTGATGTCCTGCTGGTGTTTTTGAAGCTGGTCGGTTTGGTTCAGTGTGAAGGCCTCTGCTCACTCAGACATACTGTGGCTGTAAAACCATCCTGATCCCTGCATGGTGACCGTCAACTGCTGCCGGACACACTTAATTATCTCACTCCTGTGCTGTTTAAAGGTAAACACTGCCACGTGTTGTGTTTCTGTATCATTCTGTATTAACAAGGATGATTGGTTGTAAAATAAACTGAGTTTCATTCACTCAGACTTGTTCTGTCATCCTGAGGAGAACAGTGGTTGAATCCAGCGGGTGAATGGAAAAAGGTCAAGTGATCAACGGGGATTATCAGGAGTTCAGAACATTAACATTTGAGATTAATGAGAAAAGTGGAAAAATGATTTTTGAGGGCAATGATTTCACTGATCCAACACCCACCTCTACTTTAGGTGCAGTAATTCTGCTGAGTYGCTACAAGTGTTTTGAAATGAGGCAGAATAATTAAATCAAAATAACATTTAGCTAGGATTCTGCTACTCAAAACAYATGTATTAAAGTCATAAATAATTAATGTACCTGTTGTGGATGACTGAACGGTCTCAGGAGTGGAGGTTTTTTCAATTTTTGTCTAAACGTTTACGCTCAGTTTTGCATCATGTGGTTATTTTATTGTGAGCAGCAGCAGTGAGCTGGATCACATCCGGACAATTGTTTTATATATTTATCTTTAATAACCGTGTAATGCATCAATATAACCAAAGATTGAAACATTAGCATTCAGATTAGCCACTTTGGAATTTTGTAGCTGTTTTTAGATGATCACCTTAGAAGTGGGTTTGAATTAATGACCCCTGGATAGCAGTTATGCACTAGCTTTGATGTTTATTATTCCTGACTTATCTACAAATGCACACTTCAGATATMTTCTAAGGTACAAATAGAAAGTAATCTTATGTTCCTGTTGCTTTCACTGCTGCCAGCTCTAAACTGATCAGTTGTGTTTGGAGGTTAAGCTCCATCACATTGTTTTTTCCATTTTTAAATCCTGATCAGGTTTCCATTAAGAGTTTTCATTTGACCTACAGGGTAAGTTTTTATCCTACATGTTTCAGTTTCTCACGGCTTCTGTGTTTTGTTGTAACCCCAGAGAAATCAGTTTTTTTTAATGCAGAGCCATTTGTTAGGCTTTGTGTAACAAATGTACAAACATGAATTCTCACTCATTTGCAGCAAATCAGAAATCCTTTTTATTTTGTCATCTTTAAGGTCAGATTAGAAACAATTTTCCAGTTTTTACAGGACAAAAAATCTGACTTAAAATCTGTAAGGTGTTTATTTCTAGTGTTTTATCTCCCAGATGATCATAGCTGTTAACAGAAAAATGGAAAATAGATTGTAAAATAAAATAAATTAATGATCTAATTAATATCCTGTGGCTTTTCAACTCAGTTTCTTTATATATAGAACCAATTCACAACAAAACCCATAACTGTACAATAACAATAACATCCATTTAAAAGCCAATAATATAAGTTGTATAGCTAAAGAAAGCCAGCGGGTTGATGAACTCTGTTGAATCTTTATTTGTCACAATCTCCCATCCTGAGCAGCACACTGCTGACAGTGGAAAGGAATGACTCCATTTTAACAGGAGGAAACCACCAGCAGGACCGGGTTCAGGATGAGCGGCTTTCGTCTCTTTCCATCTGGTCAAACAGTGAGAGAAAGGCAGCTCGTCATCACAGCATCCTCTCTGATGATCTTGTTGATGGAGCTGTCTGGTGAAAGAATGAATGACATGATAAGCAGTGGTGTCTCGATACCACTATCAGCATGTTTACAAGTACTTGTACAAAATGCCCTGTTACTGGAGACTGATCCCAATACTTGTACTGACACTGTTTTTCAGTTCCATGTTTAAAAAATGAATACAAATAGAAAGAAAAAAAAACTTGCAACAGTGTATATCAGGACTATTCAACTAAATTGCTCCAACTCGTGGGCTGGACCCCACTCCAGGTTGTTGCCCATTGATGGTAGGTGGAACACAGAACAAGTATCTTTTACCTTTTAAATTTAAGTTATTGCATTGAAATAAATTTTACATATACAGATGATTTGAAATCTATTTTTATATTAAGTAAAAAAAAGAAAAGAAAAAAATCTTTAAATTTTTTATTGGGGGTGCTTCATTGTTGGGCTGCCTGTTGAATGTACCTGGTATCCTGCTGTATATTTGATTAGATCCAGTCAGAGGGGCTGTAGGCCTAGATAAGATAAGATCAAAAGTCTTAAAGGGATCCACGATTAGTTGTAACATTAAACTTTATTTGATAAACATTTATTT